TCACAAAATTATTGATAGCGGGATGACCCATATTGAGGCTAGAGTAGGGGGTCGAGGACCATCACGATCCCAATGGATCATGATTTACTTAAGCATACTGAGGATGTAATTTAGGCCTTTGTCCCCTTCTGCGCTGATGCCGAGCATAGGACCCTTGGGTAGCTGAGTGATAGCACCTTTTCGAAGAGCATCCCCGGCCTCGCTCTCAGGGTAAATCATTTCCTTCCTTTTTCTCTTTCTCTTTTTTTTGCTTTGATTTGTTTCTAAATCTCACCTTGCTTGCTTTATTCCTTTTTCGTGCAGACAATTATCTTGGAAATTGAGAGTGTGCGGAGAGAGAAGAGGCATAAGGAGATCTACCAAAAAATACGGTTGAAGTAGGAGTAGTTCCGAGGGCGGTATAAGGAGGCTGAGAGGCGGCTCTACGAGGGGGGCAACATCCCTGCCCTAAAGGAGGAGCTGTTAAATAAAGATGAAGAGTTGCTCGCGTCTATGGAGCGGCTCAGTGCTCTCAAAAGGGTGTTGAAGAGAAAAGAGGAGAAGCTCGAGCAGAGCAGGGGTGTACAAGCCTAGTGCCGCGACCTCCAGAGCCGGGTTGATCGACTGCAAGGAGAATTGAATGAGTGCCAGTTTGAAACGGACGGGCTCAAGGGAGAGGTAGCTGGTAAGCAACAGTGGCTCGAGGAGGCAGAGTCCTCCTGGACAGAAACTCGAAAAAGAGATGCTCTTTTAGAGTTGGAAAACAGCAGCCTTCATGCCGACTGGGACAATATTTGCTCGACGATCGAAGCTAAGGAATCCAAGATTGAGGAGAGGATTTGCGAATTGGAGAAAGAGAATACCGAGCTACTTGAGCGGGTTTCTGCTGTGGAGGGTGATAATGCCAGACTGCTTGAACAACCCTCTACTTCTCACGCCTCTGAATTTTTGGCCAATCCTCGGGAGCTGTACAAGGATTGGATCCTTGTCGAAGCCCGAGTAGAGGTAATATGAGAGTTGGGTCTGATGGGCTTCGTCTTCGAGACAACCATAGAGTGGGCCCGAGCCAAAGCTCGGTTGGCCTGTGGCTATGACCCTGACACACCTCAGCCTGATGCCAAGGATGATGATGAAGGAGGCTTTGAACAGCTCGTAGAAAGTGCATGGTGCATCTCTGCTTACGACTGAGGCGAGGATATAGAGGGTGGAGGAACCAAGGTAGTGATGGCCACTACATATTTTGTATTTTTTTTAACTTCTTGTATTTTTCACTCTTTTTTTTGTTGGCATCTTCGTGCGCCTTTGTAAAGACTCTTTATCTAAATATAAAATTTGGTTTTTGTTTTATACGCACCTTTCTTATCTTTGCATGTTTCGTTTTTGTACTTGTGTGTTTTCTACTTCCTTCTTTATTGTCGTCCTCTGGGTTGCAGTAGTTGTAGGGTTGAGTGGCCACGGGCCGAGGGGTTTTGTTTAAGCTGGTCGAGCATACTTTTTAGTTGAGTAGTGGCCAAAGGGTGATAGGTGTTGTTCGAGCTGATTGAACATACCTTTTAGTTAATTCGTGGCCAAGAGTCGATAGGTGTTGTTCGAGCTGGTCGAACGTACCTTTTCGTTAAGTCGTGGCTAAAGGCCGATGGGTGTTGTTCGAGTTCATCGAACGTACCTTTGCATTAACTCGTGGCCAAGGGCCGAGAAGCGTTGTTCGAGCTGGTCGAACGTATCTCTAAGTTGAGAGACATAAGAGGAGAGTTTTAATGGTCGGGTATCTCATTTATTTCAACATCATCGTATCGATTACATCATTTCGCCTTGAGGCATTTTTTTGGAGAAAATTACAAGTTTTGGGTGCTCGCTGGTGTTCTAGTCCCATTCCTAGTCCCTGTATATCTAGTCTCTTCATTGTTCGACTTGGAGATTCTTAAGGAGTCGAGCAATGAAATATGTTTGTTCTCGCGTACTCGAACTCGAAATGTCCTGTCTGTCGCCTCATTAAAAACTTCCTTGAGAAAATCCTGTTGGGACAAAACTCAAGTGAGGAAAAAAAGAGTACGACTTACGGGGCACTCCATGCTTCTCAAAAGTTGAAGTACTTGAGATGGATGATGTTCCAATTGTTTGGCAAGAGCTTTCCTTCCAATGTCTCTAGTTGGAATGAACCTGTGTCTGCTTTGCCTATGATTTTGTATGGTCCATCCCAATTGGCTCTTAATTTTCTTGTCTTCCTGCTTGGGTCTTGGCTTTGAGCATTTAGTCCCCGATTTTGAGTAACCGTACCTTGGGCTTTCTGTTGTAGTAATGTTTTTCTTGTTGATTTTGTGCGACCATTCTTATATACGCCATGTCTCTTTTCTCCTCAAGTGCATCGAGGTCCTGTCTCCTTTTCTCGTCATTATCGTTGTCGCTCTCGCTGGTGTACCTTAGGCTGGGTTCTGCCACTTCAACCGGTATGACTGCTAGAGTCCCATATACTAAGGAGTAAGGTGTTTCTCCTATGCTTGTTTTTTGGGGTCGTCCTATGTGCCCATAATACTCCCGGGAGTGTCTCCGACCATAACCCCTTAGCATCTTTGAGTCTCTTTTTTATGATGTTCAAGATCAACGTGGTGGAGGATTCTGCTTGACCGTTGCTGGCTAGGTGGTAAGGGGTTCAGAGTATCTTTTTAATGTGTCATTTTTTGAAAAATTTAGTGGTTTTTCTTCCCGTGAACTTGGGTCCATTGTTGCAACTTATTTCTTTAGGCAGACCAAATCGGCAGATGATGTTCTTCCATATGAAGCTGAGTACCTCTTGTTTGCGAATTTGGGCGAATGCGTGTCATGACCCAAAACTCAACATGTAGTGATGGCGCCTATCGCAGTACTTGGCAAGCCGACAACTACAAATAACTACGCATTTTTAAATGTAAAACAGGATGAAACAATTTTAACAGTAATAGCTCTAATAAATAGTCGATAAGAAATACTGTGACTCCAATACAACATTCCTAAAATTCGGGTGTCACTGAGTACACGAGCATCTAAATGACAATGCAATGTAACTGCTAAAACAATTGTCTAGAAAGATAGAACATTGCTAATAAACTGAAAAGAAGGAGAGTTGAGGTCTGCGGACGCCAAGGCAGCTACCTCAACATTCTCCGAATAGATGAAGCTCCAAATCTAATGACCACCGTGCCTAGAAGTATCTGGATCTGCACACGAAGTGCAGAGCGTAGTATGAGTACAACCGACCCAATGTACTCAATAATTAGGACTAACCTTGGGCTGAAAGTAGTGACGAGCTTAAATAGGTACAGTCCAAATCCAGATTATAACATTACAAATATGACAGGAAAAATGACAGTAATAACTCAGAGAAATCTCATAATCAGTTTGAACACAATAAAGAAATATACACATGCTTTTAAGTTTACCAGTTTAAGTTCAACACTGATAAAATATGCCAAGTGTGACTGATATGAGGAATGTTACATCTCTATATCTACATGTCAAATATGCATGTCACATGTAATACATCACAATGATAACCTCACGTACTCACACTCTCAGAGTACTCAATCTGACTGTCTCAACTCTCACTCATCACACTTAATTACTAAGCATTGTACCATACCTGCGCTTACTGCTGGTGTGTCAGACTCCGAAGGGGCGGATCCTGCCCAAGCGCTAATATAAAGTCAATCTGGCCTGCTGCGGCATGCAGCCCGATCCCATAATAATAATATATAAAGCATATGAGGCCTGCTGCGGCATATAGCCCGATCTATAATAATAATAATATATATAAAGCCAATAAGGCATGTTGCGGCGTGTAGCCCGGTCCACAAACTCACTCACAACACGACTCTCAGACCCTAACTTAGTCATTAATCTCTCCAGACTCTCGGGCTTACCAATCTCATACCAAACAGCCCAAACAATGATACATGATGCAACAATAAATGGCAACTGGGACTGAGATGTGATATGCAAATGATGGGTGTGATTGAGTACATAATTACCATTTAAGCAAATATATCAACAGCAGATATTACCCCAGTGGGTTCCAACAGAAGAAGCCTATAGCCTAAATATTATTTTCTAACATAGATTGCAGCTTAATTACTCTAACACATAGTGATCAAATGAACAGTAACAAGGTTTGATAACTACACAGTACCACAGAATCGACCGGGTCACAATTACAACAATGCACGCCCACACGCCCGTCACCTAGCATGTGCGTCACCTCAACACTAACCACATAACACGTATTTCAGGGATTCATACCCTCAGAGCCAAGTTTAGAAGTGTTACTTACCTAAACCGCATAAATACCTACTCTAACAAGGCATTGCCTCACGAATCTGCCTCCGAATGACTCGAATCTAGCCACAAATAACTTAATACAATCAACACAAGCTATAAGAATTAATTCCATATGAAAAAGTGAGGTTCTTCTACAACAGTCAAAAAGTCAGCCCCGAGCCCACGTCTCGAAGTCTAAAAAAATTAACAAAATCTTATCGCCCATTCAACGAGTCCAATCATACCAAAATTACTCAATTCTAATCTCAACTCGAACTTCAAATCCTCAAATTAATGTCTATGAAGTTTCTACAATTTCCCCCAATTTTCCAACCCAAAACACTAATTAAATAGTAAAAACAATAACAGATTCATGTATAGCAACCAAACCCGAGTTAGAATCACTTACCCCAATCAACCCCTTGAAAATCCCCTCAAGAATCGCCCAAATCCGAGTCTCTAGCTCAAAATACGAAAAATGGGTTCAAACCCTCGATTTTGATATTTTAACTCTGCTGCCTAGTGATTACACATCGCGATTGCAGATAACCCATGCAATCGCGAAGAACAAAATCCCCAATGGTCAAAAAAATCCTTCTACGCGAACGCACCTTCAGGCTCGCGAATGCGGAGACCCAACTCTCATACCTACGTGAGGCAGATCGACTCACGCGACCACGAAGAACAGCATGTCTGAATCCATACCTCTCCTTCCTTCCTCGCGAACACGTTTATGCACCCGTGTTCGCGTAACACAAAATCTCAAAACTCCACGAACGCAGACCATTTCTCGTTATCACAAAGACCACCTCACCAGTCGCCCAATTAAGCCTTCGCAATCGCGAATAAGGAAACCACACCTACAACATCAACAATCTTTGAAGTCCAAATTCCAATCCGTTAACCCTACAAAATCTCCCCAAGGCCCCCGGGACCTCAACCAAACATACCAACAAGTCCTAGAACATTATACGAACTTAGCCGTGACCTCAAATCACATCAAACAACATCAAAAATATGAATCGCACCCATATTGAAGCCTAATGAAACTAATGAATTCGCAAACTCTACAATCGATGCCGAAACCTATCAAACCAACTTTGATTGACCTAAAATTTTGCACACAACTCATAAATGACACAACATACCTATTCCAACTTCTGGAACTAAAATCTGAACCTGCTAACTACAAAGCCAACTCTTGGTGAAACTTCTCAACTCTCCAAACATCAATTTTTCCAACTTTTGCCAGTTCAAGCCAAAATCCCCTACGGACCTCTAAATAAATATTCCGACACACTCCTAAGTCCAAAGTCACCATACAGAGCTATTGGAACCATCAAAAACTCCATTCTATAGTCATCTACACATAAGTCAACTCTTTCAACTTAGGCTTCTAACCTTAGGACTAAGTATCCCAACTCATTCTGAAACACCCCCAGAACTAAACCAACTACCCCGACAAGTCATATAATAACAAGTGAGGATATAATAGGCTGTAAATGGGGGAATGCAGCTATAATACTCAAAACAACCGACCAGGTCGTTATAATGCGCCTGCTTCCACCCATTTAGAGAAGTAATCAGTCAAAACTAAATGGAATTTAACATTGACTCGCCTCGGCAGAAGAAGTCCCATGATGTCCATTCCCCACTTAATGAACGACCATGGAGAGGTGAGAGAATGGAGGTGTTCGCTTGCTCGGTGGATTATTTGGGAATACTTCTGGCACTGTTCGCATTTCTTTAAGAATTCCAGGGCGTCTTTCTTCATGGTAGGCGATATACCGCCCGCATAAGGCGTCTGACCAGTGAACGATCATCGGGATGACTATCAGAGTGGCCTTCATCCACATTCTCGAGGACACATTGAGTTTGATTCGGCCCAAAGCATTTTGCCAATGGGCCACCGTATGTCCTTTTATACAATTCGTTGTGGAGGAGCTTGTACCTTGCCGCTTGCATTCTCAACTTCCTGGCTTCTTTTTTGACGTTTGGGAGAACACCGTCCTGCAAGTAGCTTATTATACAATTGCGCCAGTACCAGGTTAAGTTTATAGATTTTACCTCGACGTGATATAATGCTGAGCCGAGGAGATGCACCATATTTTTTGCTCCATAAGTTATGTTTTTGGTTGCGCCAACCAATTTTGCGAGGTCGTCCACCTCGACGTTCTAAGTTCATAGAATTTGGTCAAGTTGGCATTCATCAAATATGGGCAATAGTTTACATATCTCGGTCTGGTACTTATTCTCGTTCTAATTCTTGTGTTTACTTTTATCATCTTGAACTTGCCCGGTTGGTCTTTCAATGCTAATGTTAATTATGTTTGGTTGGAGGGATAACCTTAGGCATTCTTTGTGTTCTTTGAAAAGTCTCTTTAGCCTTTTGAGCCTACCGTTGCATAAATATTATCACTAGTTTACCCCATTTGAGTCTTTAACCTTTTCTTTGGCTACCTCATTACAAACCTTTACCCTTTTGTGAAATAATTTCCTCTTTTGAACTCACCCCTCTTGAATGTTAAGAATGATTCTAAAAGCCTAAGTTGGGGGTGTTGGTGTTAATAGGGAAATGGTGAAGATGTACATTGTGTGTAGAAACATATAGCTCAAAGTTGTTTATATTAAGATACTCAAGCTCCAAAAGAAAATAGTTGTATAAAAAAATTGGAGTCTTGAGAAAATTATAGAGGTACTTTAAGGTTGTTCTACATTGGTAACTAGATTTCAATGAAGGATATGTGGTTTAAGAAGAAGCAAAGTGCAAAAAGAAAGAGAAATGTGAGTAGTGTTCAAGGAGGGTGTAGTCACTTTTTCCCCAAATTCTTATCTTACGCTTCCCCAAGCCTACATTACAAGCTTAAAAAGTCCTTATGGGATCTCCAACCGACTGTTCTTGAATAGGCGGTGAATTAAAATAAGGGCAAGCTTATGGTATGATATTTTGTAACACTTGAAATTCTTTGTTGAGAGTGAGTGTCTTTGTGCATTTGTCCCTTGTGTTGTTATTATAAATATGGTGATTTTGGGACTTACTTTCTTGTGAGGGCATATGGATTATGATGGATTGGTGACATTGATATATTACGAATTGTGTTAATTAAGCATATGTAGTAGATTAGTGCTTTTGAGTCACTTCTTGAGGCTTGTTGTCACTTGATAATCTTGAAACTTCATTGTATTTTTGAAGTTGTTTTTAAATGAGGGAGTTAGAGATTCACATGCTTGAGCCTAATTATTAATACCAACCAAATCCATAAGTGTTATACTTAATTGGAGAATGTGATTTGGACATGATACCAATGCTAATTATGCTTTAAATAGTAGAACCTCATTGAATTTTTGGTTTTGATTTGCTTGAGGACAAGCAATAGCTTTAAGTTGGGAGTGTTGATGAGTGGTGATTTTACCATTTATTTTAGTCTCTTTTCTTTAGATTATTTATTCATTAATTATAATATGAGGTTGTTTATGGTGTGTATTGCTAGATTTTCAGGTAAATGATGCCATGAAGAGAGTTGAATTCAATTTAAGTGGAATTGAGAAAAAAGAGTAAAAAAAATGCAAAATCATTCAGTGATTCCGCATCTGCGGAACACTGTTCGCTTATGCGACATCGCATCTGCGAGGGGAAAGGCCGCATCTGCGGAAAGGAATCACCATGCACTGGGATCGCATCTGCGTCATTAATCCGCACCTGCGGAGTCGCTTCTGTGACGGTATGGTCTGCATCTGCAAAAAAAGGAAACTCCACACAAGCTTCGCATCTACAACTGGCAGTCCGTTTTGGCAGAGTCGCACCTACGATGATTTATTCCGCAGGTGCGATCAACAGTCTTCAGCTCTGGGTAATTTTGGCAATTCATATTTTCTCCGCTCCAAACCCACAATACATGACCTAGCTTACTGGAAACAGATCTTTGGCTTAATTTTCAGTCTCCTGGCTAGAGAAGACAAGTTTGGAAGCTAGTGTTCTTGCTCACACACTTGGTTCTTGAAGATTTGAAGCTTTTGGTTGAGAATTTCTTATCCATTTATGTTCATTTCTTTATTTCCTTGCTTTTTATTGTATAGCTAAGTGCGTAGTCTTTTTTCCAACACTTGAATCTTGTTTATGGGAATATTCATATTTAAAGTGTGGATTAAATATCTTGTTGTGCTTATGTATTGAATGATTTTTAGTTATATTGAAATGAGTTATTGTTTCTTTAATTATTCTTGTTTTTTAATATTTCCAAAGGGATTAGCTTACCCTAGGTCTCACCCATTTACTTCGAATTGATTTTGGAAAAGATAATTTGGGGTTGGAAAAGTTTAATTAACGAGAACTTGAGGCATTAACCCTCACTTTATAGATTCTACCTACGAATAGGATTGAACTACTTCATTTCGGGTTTGCTTAATCTCTTAATTATTTTAGGGATAATTTAATTAGGAAGTCTTGTTAGTCTTTGGAAGAAGCTAAAATTGAATTATAACCCGAGGCTAATTAACATAAACTCGCTCATATTTGTAAAATCATGAAATACATTGGATCGTTACTTGAGGGTAATTCCCATTGCATCCATGCTTGTAGCCATTGATCATTTTATTTGCTTTCTAGGTTAGTTTAGATTTCCACATTTAGCTATAATATTTTCTCCAAGCTTTTCTAAGTGTTTGGCTTAGCATAATAAGTGATAATTCTCTTGCACGCCTAATCGCCTACATATTATTCTCGGTGGGATTTGACCCCGACTCATAATTGGGTAAATTATGTTGCATGCGACCGTGTCCATTTACTTTTTAGTAGTGGATTTGGACGTCATCAATGGGACTGAATTCTTTGGACATGCTTTGTTCAGATTGATGAAGTCCACGTACATCCTCTATTTTCTGTTCTTCTTCTGACTATTACCACGTTAGCAATCCACTTGGGGTACTTCGACTCTCTAATAGAGCCATTGACCAACAATTTCTCCACTTCCTCGTGGATGGCCTCCTTGATGGCGGGGTTGAAATTTTGTTGAGCCTGCCTTACTTAGGGGTAGTAAGGGTCGACATTTAACCTGTGTGTGGCTATCTCTTTGGTGATGCCTGTCATTTTTGTAAGGGAAAACAAATATGCGTTAGCTATTAAGAATTGACTAAATTTACCTGGGTCTTTGAGTTTGCAACCGATTTAGGCCTTTTTACTGGGGTCGCTCTGATCTAGCTGAACGGGATTGAGGTCCTCTATAACCGATCCTGCAGCTTTGACCATTTCTAGGTCCATAAAAATGTCCTTGGCTTCGGCCTGTAGAGACCTCGACCCTGCCGATTGCTATGCTGTTTTATTCTTTCTTCAGTTGGGTAGTCATGTTATCTAGGGCGATCCAATAGCATTCCCGGGATGTGCGTTGCTCTCCTTGTATGCTGAATATTCCCCAGGCGGTCGGGAACTTGATCACTTAGTACAGGATGTAGGGGACTGACCTCATAGGGTGTATCCATGGTCGATCTATGATGGTGTTGTATCTTGTCTCCTGATCCATGATGTGGAATGTGGTCTCCAGTGTTACCCCTCCCCCCCACCCTGCGAGGACGGGAAGTGTGATCTCGCCTGAAGTTCGTTCAACTGTATTGCTAAAATCGATTAGCGTGATCCATCGCGGCATTATCTTATCCTCGTGTCGCATCTGTGTGAGGACTCGGGGATGGATGATATACGCTCCGCTTCCGTCGTCCACCATAATTCTCCTAACATCAGTATAAAAAATACGTAAAGTAATGACAAGTGCATCATTTTGAAGGAAAGTCAAACCATTAGCATCTGACTCGTCGAAGATGATACTCTCTTCGAGATCTTCATATCGTTCGTGGGTGATTGATCTATTGAGTTTGTAAGTGGTGGTGAACTTGATGCCATTGATGGATGCATCGTCACTGCCCCCAATAACCATGTTAATAGTGTGAGCGGGAGAGGGCTTCTTTGGCGGGCCTGGGCATTCTCGACCTTTTGCTAAGGTTTTCCTACCTTTGTCACCGAGTAACTCTTTGAGGTGTCCGTATTGCAGCAGGTTAACCACTTCTAACCTTAGAGCGTTGCAGTCTTCCATCTTTTGCTCACCGTCTTGGTGGAACTCACAAAAGTCGTCTGACTTTTGTTTCGAGCTTCTTGAGTGCGTAGACCTAGGTGGCACACAAAAGTTATGAGCAAATAGTAAAGGGGCTATACCTCGATCATTTCTGTGGATGTCTGATCTTGGCCTAGAGAGGTCGTCTTCTCGGTGAAAGCTGGGAACGGGTGCTCTGATATAAGGTTGATGTCAGTCTCTGCTTGATCGCGACACTGGAATGTCTCTCCTTGTGTTGTCCATGCATTCCCTCCTAGGTTCGGATTTCACTAAGGTGAGTCATCAGGTTAGCCCATTGAGGTCTTCATTGTCTGCCCTGACCTTGGCACAATAGGCATTGTGTATCACGTACCAGGTAGCCGGTGGGTATTTCATCAATCGGCTCAGTAACTTTTTGGTCGTCTTTGAGCCTTCTCTCTTTGGCCCGTTTTGGAAGGATGCCACGGCCATTCCCTCGGAGACATTTGGTAAGGTCATCCTCACCCTGTTGAATCGTGCTAAAAAGTCCTTCTGTCCTTCCCATGGGGATTGTGTGATGGAGAAGATATCATTTACCCTTGTTTTAGCTTTCTTGGCCCCAGCATACGCCGTCACAAACTTGTACATCATTTTTTTCCGAATGTTTCTATGGAATAGGCCGGCATCTGCGAATACCATATCAATGCCCCTCCTGTGAGGGTTTCACCGAATTTTCTTAATAAGGTGGAGGACACATGTTCTTTGGTAAGGTCGTTGCCTTTCACGGTGGTGACATAGCGGGTCACACGGTCCTCGTGATCAGTTGTTCCGTCGTTGATTTTGAGGTACGGGGGCGTTTTGAAAGTTTTTGGTATGGCATGAGTAGTCGTTTCTTCCCTGTATAGTTGTTCCACGAACCCGCCAGTTCTCTTTTTGGTAACAATTTAGGGGCACCTGGTATCTTGTCTACCCGTTCTCGGTGCTTCTTCATCTGTTCCTTGAGCGCCCTATTCTCGTTCTCCATTTCTTTCATTCTTTTTTAACATAGCGGCAAGGATGTTGTCACCTGCACTATCAATATTTGTATGGGTATTACCTAAAGTGGGAGGGTTTGGATGGTGGTCTCGTTCGTTCCTACGCTATGTTCCTTGGGGTTTCCATTGTCGTGCATAGGGCTTGCTTGCTCATTATGCTTACCAAAGTGTTGGTTAGCCAAGCTTCGAGGAGCTGTTTCATAGCGGGTGGTGCTCCTTCTTCCACGGACGTGGAAGCCTTTGGTTTGGTTGTGCTACAAAAGAGTGTCGACGACTTCCCCAACCTGGGGGATGCTGTGGGGGTTACTTCCTCATCTTGAGTTTCATACCCTTGGTCGTTGGCACTCATAAGGTTGAGCGAGATGTTGTCCGTTGCTCTTGTTCCCTTTCGTTGGTTACCTGCCATGGAATCCTTATATGAAAGGAAAAAAAGGATAACTCTATAGTATGTTAGGTTAACAAGTCACGAACGTTGTAGATCCGAATAAAAACTAAAAATTTGATTAAGAAATTTTCACAGACGATGCCAAACTGTATAACCCAAAAACTTGATATAGGCTTTTATACAATTAGATTTATAGAAAGAGAAGGTTAATCAAAGTCCATATTAATATTCAATAGCATCTAGTATTTTTATGACGAATATTTAATGTGTGCTATTAGATAAGAATATGTTAGAAATATAACGGAGCAATAAAGGCTTGAAAACGTAAAGATAGCAATAAATGATGATAAATGGCTTTTTAGTAATAAATGGAACAAAGTTCACTCGATAAGGGTAAGATTTTCCACTGAGCTTCTTACAATGATGGATGATGATAAGCAGTTGAATATTCCGATTCTTCATGGACCGAGAGAGAAGGATAAAAGAGAAGAAGTGTAAAGTTAGGCATTGTTTGTATTTAATAAAGAGAGAATCTTCCCACAATATGTCAATGAGGTTCTTTACAAAAATGTTCGATTCCGTTCTGGAACTGCTTCTCTTCTTATTTATAAGAGTACGTAGGTCATAAAATCCTAGATAGTACAACAGAAAGGAATATTCACTAAAATATTCTCTACGGAATCTAAATAAAAAAACTAGCCGTTATTGCGTGCCGAAGACGGATTCTCGTCCTCGTCCTTGTCTTCCATCAAACCACCTCGACCTTAACAACAATTTGTCTTCTTCACACGACCTCTGCCTATTGGGCTCAGGTTGATACGTCATAGCGTTGACACGTCACAATCGTCAAATGTTTTATTACCGTTGATCAGGTTAAATGCGTGAAACAAAGCATTTCGCCCATACAATATTAAGATCGAATCTAGGTCATCGCTCTTTAGTGACACGTAGAAGGAAGGCGTTAAAACATTGCGTGTTAAATCGAGGTACTTAAATTAGAAGTTCCTATTTCGCTTACTAAACAGGCAAACATATATATAAAATTGATTATTTTTTTCCTTTTTTACCCATAGTTATAATTGTTCCTGAAGATGGAGATAACACATAAATAAAATAAATATACAATGAAGAGACATTATATATTAAGATATAAATAAGGGTAGAATAGTTCAATCTCTTTCCTAATTAATATTTTTTAAGGGGCGTGTAAAAGAGAAATACGACAAATAATGAGAGAGAGGGGGAGTATCTCTCCTCAAACCAAAAAAAGAAAAAAAAAAGAAAAAGAAAATCAGGAGGAGGTTACTTATACAAAGACGGAGGCTCATAACATCTATCTATATAGAATAACAAAGGCAAAACAATTTGGGAGTGACAAGTGGAATTCCCTAATGCTAACACATGTTAAAAAATTGGACAACTCTCCAATATAGTTGGAGCTTCAAAGTAGCACGCGTTCACAGAAATTATCAAATCTCCTATTGCCTTCAAAGTCCCACACGTTTCAAATCTCCCTCAATTTATGGGATCCATTACTCCCACACTCATAGGTAATTAAATACCCACGTTTTGGCTTTTACTCCCACATTCAGAGGTAATTCAATACCCATTAATATTCCCACGTTCACAGAAACTCTAAATATCCCACGTTCCACTTTTCTGCTGAGATTAACATTGCCTTCAAACTTTCAGTTTCCCACGTTTCAGTTTCCCACATTCTCATTACTTTCTTTTTCACAAACTAAACTTGAGAACATTTTAATCAACATGGAAAGAACCTCTTATTCTTCTTCACGGTGTTTTCTCAATTCCAGAACATGTGCAAAACCTGTGTCCCTCTTCTTTGTTATTTCCTTCAATTACTCATCCAATAACTTAATATTCCCACGTTAACAGAAACTTTCAGTTTCCCACGTTTTGCCTTACTGCTACTTCCCCAAAAACGTTGCCATTCTCCCACCATTGATTTAACTCCCAAACGTGGGCTTCCAATTCAAAAAACCATTTTTTATCTGCACATCTATATATATCGGATTTATGTGCTTTACATTTTCAAAATCTTTTCAACTTTATATTTTATCTGCTCAATATACCATTCTGATTAATTTACTTTGCAAATATGGCGACACAAATTCATGATATCAAACAAATTTCAGGCAACTCAATGCAATAGAACCTCAAAGTTAGAGTCATTCGAATGTGGGTAATGCCGGATCGCTTTAAACCGGAAATACAATATTCAATTGAATTGGTTTTATAGGATTCTAAGGTAACATATCAAACTTTGTCATACTTCCAAACTTATTAATGTAGTCGCATTCTGTTTTGTGGCAGCCTGCTAAATGTCGGCTATTTTTTCATCTTTACGCATAACTGTTGTAGCATTTTGGTTCTTACTGATTGTTCATAAAACATATATTTATCACTGATGTATCTATCTGAATTGGGATGTGCAAATTCAAGAATTATAGCTGTTAAATTAATAGCCTTACTACCCCTTTCCGTCAATTTTGTAGGGTGATCGTATACATTGTCACGACCCAATTTCCAAACCCGGTCGTGATGGCGCCTCTCGTGAAAACAAGGCCAGCCAACTAACCCAAATCGTCTCTTTAATATTTATTAAACATAAACGAATAGGTGAATATAGCTTAACGACAATATTAAACAGTATGTACAACCCAACAAAACCCGACCGGGGTGTCACAAGTCACGAGCATCTAAAGAAACCTTAACACAACTACAGGCCAATAAATATGTACAAGTAAAATTTTTGGAAAACAAAAGACAACATCCGGTGCCGCGAACGCTGGCGGTCACCTTGCTCAGCTACAATAATAATACCTTCAATCCGCTAATAACCCGCTACCGGGTGAACGATACCTGCAACTGCACGCGAGGTGCAGGGAGTAAAGTGAGTACTTCCAACTCAGTGAGTAATAGAAGTAAATAATAACTGAGCAGCAAGAAATCACGTAAAGCAACCAATGGGCTGTACAGAAGCCGGGTACAATTTCCGAGAAAACAGTGAAATCAGAGAACTTCTTAAAAATATTTCGGCTCAGTTTAAATCTCTTTAGAAATTGGTCCTTTCAATAATTACGAAAGCTGTTCAAAATAGTTAGTGCTGATTAGCACAGAAAATCCGCCCCTCGGGCCCAAATACCAAAGCATAGCAGGTAAAAATGCAAATAAGTAATGCAAATGAACACATAAAAGTTCGCCCCTCGGGCATGAATTTCGTTACTAGTCAGTCATTGTTACCTGGCCCGGTCAGCCATTGTTTACCTGACCCAACGCGTGTTTCATGCCATTGTTACCACTGGTCAGCCATTGTTACCTGACTGGTCAGTCCTATTGTACCCTGACCAAAACACGTATGCAGTGTCATTGTTACCATGTCCAGTTCTAAATGGGTACGCGCCGCTCACTGTGGGTGTGCAGACTCCGGAGGGGCTCCTACAGCCCAAGCGCTATATCAACATAAGGCCTGAAAGCCTGTACATATCCAACATAGGCCTGAAAGCCTTCTCACATTAACACTCGAGGCAATGAAAGCTCCTCACATCACTCTCCACTCAGCATATCCTCACAATATGGCCCTCGGCGTCAATCAATCCAAAAATAATCATAAGCCCCCTCGGGCATCAGTAAAGAAACAATAATGCTCAGCTCAAACAGTAGTTCAAAATATCAGTTAAAACTCGAGGTTGATGGAAAATTAGCTGCGTCAGAAACAGTGTAATGAAATGGGACTGAGTTCAAAATAATATTTTCAAATAGTGAGGAAAATAGTGATGATAGCTCATAGGGAGTTCAAACAGTCGGCATAAAGCCCAATATTGGCAATAAGCCCAAGTCCTAGTGAAAAACAACAAGTCATAGCGAAATACACGGTAAAAATAACAACCGGGACGGACCAAGTCACAATCCCAACGGTGCTCTACCCCACGCTCTCCGTCTGGCGTGCAAGTCACCTCAATATAGCACTATGGTGCAAATCCGGGGTTTCAAACCCTCAGGATATCATTTACAATCATACTCACCTCGATCCGGCGAAATCTCTAGTCGCGATGCCTTTGCCCCTCGAATCGGCCTCCACACGCGTCGAATCTAACCAAATCAGAGCGAGTACATCACAATAGCAAGGGAACGATGCCAATCGAAAACAATTGAAATATAGCAAAAATCTCGAAACTAGCAAACCCGAGCCCCGGGCCCACTTCTCGAAAAATTACAAAAACTCACATTACCGGATTCCTCGTCTCGCCACGAGTCCATACATATCAAGTTTACCAAAATCGGAGTTCAAATGCCCTTTCAAATCCCAAATTTTCATTTCAAAAAACCAAGCCCTAGTTCTTCCAAATTTTTACACAAATTTCCAAATTAAAGGTTGATTCTTCAATAAAAATGACATTTCTAGTCACGAGACTTACCTCCAAATTGGTTCCCGTCAAAAATCCTTTTCAATCTCTACCAAAAATCTTTAAGTGGTCAACAATGGAGGAAATCATCCCAAGCTCGCGGATGAAATATTGAATAAAAACCTCCTAAACAGTCCAGTTTTCGCTTCTGCGGTCCCCACGCCTGCTTCCGCCGACC